CAGGAGTACAGTGTCTCCTGCTCCAGGTGGAGTTCAACTGACGCCTCTCCAGCACCCAGGAGTTGACAAAGGTGAAAATCGACTCTCACAATTACTGCTCCGTTTTCTATGAGAGGAAATCGCTCCGACTTGACCCACATTGTGATTGTTGCGAGTAGAGTCGGAGAGATTTCCGACTCTAATCGCAATTAGATTGCGATTACCACATCCGCCCCTTCTGTTAGTTTTACCTAGTCCTACTTCACACTACTTCTAGTACTGTTACCACATCTACCACTAACAACCGTCGACTATTCTATCACAAACAACGGTTGTAGTAACTCCAGCAGTCAACAGTAAGTACTATCTTGAGGTTATCTTGAGATGATTTCGGGGCTTTTTAGTGTCCCCGCGGCCCGGTCCTCGACCAGGCCTCCACACTACTAACAACGGTCTTTGGTAACAGTTTCCAAATATACCGTAGAACCATTAACCACAAACACCTACAATATGCCACAACCATTCTCACCACACACCACTAATGATCACAGGAGTGTAACTGACTTGATGACTGGTGATCACAGGAGTGTAACTGATCTGATGACTGGTGATCACAGGAGTGTAACTGACTTGATGACTGGTGATCACAGGAGTGTAACTGACAAGATGACTGGTGATCACAGGAGTGTAACTGACTTGATGACTGGTGATCACAGGAGTGTAACTGACTTGATGACTGGTGATCACAGGAGTGTAACTGACAAGATGACTGGTGATCACAGGAGTGTAACTGACCTGATGACTGGTGATCACAGGAGTGTAACTGACCTGATGACTGGTGATCACAGGAGTGTAACTGACAAGATGACTGGTGATCACAGGAGTGTAACTGATCTGATGACTGGTGATCACAGGAGTGTAACTGACAAGATGACTGGTGATCACAGGAGTGTAACTGACTTGATGACTGGTGATCACAGGAGTGTAACTGACAAGATGACTGGTGATCACAGGAGTGTAACTGATCTGATGACTGGTGATCACAGGAGTGTAACTGACCTGATGACTGGTGATCACAGGAGTGTAACTGACCTGATGACTAATGATCACAGGAGTGTAACTGACCTGATGACTGGTGATCACAGGAGTGTAAGTGATCTGATGACTGGTGATCACAGGAGTGTAACTGACCTGATGACTGGTGATCACAGGAGTGTGCCTAACCTGATGACTGGTGATCACAGGAGTGAGCCTGACAAGATGACTGGTGATAATTGTTAAATTATCACCAGTCATTGATAAATGTTAATTGATAAATGTTGAAACAGTAAAGACTAAAAACAATCATTTAAGACTTTTCCTAGACTTATAATATTATATATATACTGTATATCACTTAATGCAGCGTGTTTTTATATTTGAACAATGAATACAAATCAAAATCCAGGAAAATAGGAAGGTATGGAAAGTACAAAACCAAAGAGGACTTAAATACGACTTATCTCACTAAGAACGGCTTCTCTCACCTCTCACTGACCGCATAGAGAAAGGCCTACATTCACCGTCCACGCCACCTGGAGCCATAACAACATTCCAGGGTGAGCCATAACTCTTAAAAGGCTCCTACAGACCTCTACAATAGCTCCAAACCCCAACGAACTCGACCCTCGCGGTTATTCAAGTTAGGGAGCCTCAGCTCGCTCGGTGATTGGCTGCGCGTGCCGCTGTTCCCGTTCTCTATGGGCGCTCAGAGGAAAAGTGGGCTACCCGGAGAGCGGGAACTGCACTCATTGGCTCGCACCTTACCCCCACCGCTCAGGTCCGCTCCTCAGTTGTTTCTTTTGTTTTCTGGAGGGTTTTGGCGTCGTTTACCCATCCTGGTGTTTTGTATGTACCACTGAGGTAATAATGGCTGTCTGTCGACAATATTTTAAAAGCGTTTCTCCGTCCGTGGTTCAGAGCATAAGCCTGAAGTTCAACATCACTCACGGCTCTGCAGACTTCAAACATGTAACAATATATATTCATGCACATATAATTAAATATGGAACAATATGTAAATTTTCCTGTAGAGGAGATAGAGGTGTCTCCCTCCAGGACCGGATGCTTGGAAAAGCATTACTCCTGACCTTATGACCTCTGATCACAGGTGCTAGGAACTTCCCTTTCCGGTTGTTTTTCTCTTGTCATATGTATACATACTGTATGTGTACACTGAGAGGCATACCCTCATGTCGGTGTATATACACTCAGAGTGTACCTTAGTTCAGGTTAGTGTTCCGAACTGAAGTATTCTTGGTAGTTGGTCAATAGTTTACCAGTCTCCGTGTAGTTGTAACACACTCGCCTGGCGTTCCGCGTGCGCTTTGTCATGGGTTCGTATCCTGGCCGGGGAGGATTTATTGGGGGCAAATCCTTAACTGTAGCCTCTGTTTAACTCAACAGTAAAATGTGTACTTGGTTGTAACAACGATTCTTCGCGTCGGGAATGGTATTCCAGGGACCTGCCAGAAACGCTACGCGTACTAGTGGCTGTACAAGAATGTAACAACTCTTGTATATATCTCAAAAATAGGTCCTTGTGCTTACATGAAGAACCCTGAGGAGGCTGAGAGGCATCACCACACCACACACTAACTTTGCTATGTTGGCTAATATGGTTACTTCCACAAGGGAAACCGTTGTATGCTATCAGGTGAAAATAGCGTCCCATTGTCGGGGACAGGTAGGCTATTAGGCTTATCCCTCCTACCCCCCGAGGCTCACAACTGAGATTTCACAGGATGCAACCCACAATAGTTACCTAAATCCCAGGTACCTACTTACATCTAAGTGAAAAGAGGTATCATGTGAAATAAAACGTGCCCCACCTTGTCTGTCTGACCCGGGGATCGAACCCGGAATCCGTGATAGTGAGTCGACAACGTAGACCACTGTAGACAAAAGAGGAACACCTGGAGAGGACAAACTCAGTAACAAATCGTCAGCATCGTGTTAGAAGGAACAAGTCGTGCCTGACAAACTTGACCGAGTTCTCTGTCAAGGTTACTACAATACGACAGGACAAGGAATGTTCACAACATTGCATTTTCCTAGACTGTCAAAAGGCCTTTGATCCAGTTCCTCACGAAAGAGCAAGATGAAGATGCAGGCTGGGATAACTGGGAAGACACTAAACTGGGTAAGGGAGTATCTAGGGACAGAAGGTCTCAGTGTCACAAGTGGGGTCCTTCAAGGCTCGCTCCTGGGACCCCTACTGTTCGTAATTAATGTTAATGTTAATTATGTTAACTCTCTCACCCGAGGGTCTCCAAATGTACTCTCTAGAAAGGAGACGAGAGATACTAAATAATATACACATAGAAAATACTGGAGCCTGGCCTCGGGCCGGGCTTGGGGAGTAGAACTCCCAGAACCCAATCAACCAGGTATCAAGCAGGGAGTGAGCTCGTTTGTAGACGATATAAAGATAATGAGGAATATATAAACCGAGGCCTGCAGGAAGTTAGAGGAGGACAAACTCTAGGAGTGGGCAAACATGTGATTGCTAGAGTTCAATCCCAATAAGTGTTAGGTAATGAGCTTGGGAAAAGGAGAATGGAGACCGAACATAGTGCCTACACCAGAAATGTAAAGCAGCTACAAGAATCTGTGAAAGAACGATATTTGGGAGTGGATATAATACCATTACTAACACCAGAGGCACACACAAGTAGGGTGACATCAGCAGCATATGGGACGCCGGCGAACATTAGAACGTCGTTTAGAAACCTAAATCAGGACTCTTTCAAGGCAATCTACATAGCTTTTGTTAGACCAATATTGGAATATGCAGCTCCAGCCTGCAATCTGCGGATTGTGATGCATAAAACTAAAATTGAAAAAGTGCAGAAGGTTTACAACTAAATTAGTGCCAGTGCTAAGTTGAAGTAATTAGACCTTACCACCCTGGAGGACAGAAGAAACAGAAGAGACATGATCACAACATAAAAGATACTGAGGAGAATAGACAAGATGGGTAGGGATTGCCTCTTTAAATTGAGAGAAGGTAAAAAATGAGAAGGCAAGTGGAAGCTGAAATCATAAATGACTGGAAGGAATGCAAGGAAGTACTTGTACCATGCACGGATGGTCAACAAGTAGAATGCACTATGAGAAGTTGTGGAAGCCACCTCCATCCACAACCATAAGGCCAGATTTGACAAATAATTTGAGTGTGGCAAAGATAAGATATGAAGCATCAAGTACAGCAAGGCTGACAGGCGAGGCATAGACTCACTCCCCAGTAGTCCCCCACAGGTGGAGGTGAGACAAATGGACAAAATGTTTCTTTCACCCCTGATGCCCCCTTTTACCTAGAAGAAAATATGTACCTGGGAGTTAGACAGCTGCTACGGGCTACTTCTTGGGGATGGAGGCCTGGTCGAGGATAGGGCCGCGGGGACACTAAAGCCCCGAAATCATCTCAAGATAGGTAACAGGTTAAGTCCTAACAGATAAGTACTACAATACTCGGTCTTCCTCATAACAGATAACAAGTTATGTTTGCGCAGGAGCGGCACCCAAGGCACTGGCACCCAAGGCACTGGCACCCAAGGCCACACGCAGCCTCCCAAACATTCTACACACCGGGCCACGTGGGCCTGCTCCCCCCATCCCCAGAGCTCCCCACCCCCGTTCCTGCTCACACTAAGCGGGTGAAGCCACAACACAGGGGATTGGAAACTAATCACCCTCCAGCTATAAGCCCCCCCCCCACCTTGGCCACAGTCTACCTGGTCAGGGAAGCAACTTAAGGCAATCCTCTCTAACTACAGCGCCCCTCGAAACTGTCACGACAAATTTCAGGCACCGATGTTAATACTTGTTGAATCAATGTCATTTTTGTTAGTGAATAATTGTATTAGTGCTAACAAAGCTCTAACTTGGAGAAGCTGTGAGTGTTATACACAACAATGTGGTTATTATGTGGCGTAAAGCAGGGCAACAACCCATCATAGTCTGACAAAACAACAACTTACATTTCTGAAGAGATATATATTCCTCCAGCGACCTTCCGGTAACTATTTCCAAGTTGAGAATAAACAATGGATTCCTGGGGTGACGCACGTGGTTATATCAATTTCAATCCGTATGTCAGTAAGGTAGTGAGTGTAGGCGAGGTGTAGCAACACCTACACACACGCGCGCCTCAGTCCACCTACAACCACGACACAACACACACACCACAGCGTCTCCAAGGACTAACAACGCGATGTATTTGTGATTATTTGACTGTATGGCCGTCGTGCGGTTATCCAAGCACAAGAGATCACTAGATCACACCGGAGGGCAGCACCGACACTCGCACTCTTGACACACAGCACAGCGGATAAACAAAGCACACTTGGGGGGGGGGGAGGGGACACGCTGCCACAGCCCGGGAGGTGTTCTACACACCACCAACTTCACCTTGCAATCAATACCAGCCACAGGTTGGCTCACGCTACACCTGTAGAGCTGTCACCTGGGTAGTGACGAGCGTTGAGTGCAGGTAGCCAATGAGTGAGTGCATGTGTGTGCGCGTGTGAGTGCGGTAAGGGCAGGGAAGCGAGTGGTGAGAAGCCAAGGAAATGAGAGATGGTGGCGAGTGGGCAACCCCTCCCGCAGCCAGCCAACCACAGTGCAGCGCGCCATCTCCACCGACCGCATGGTATAGTGGTGGAGACCAGGGCATGGGGGGAGCCTGCTTACCTAACACTCACTACCCACACGGCTTTACCTCTTGCCTTCCAAACTGATGCTTCTGATCCTCGAATATCAAACAATATTTTCGGGCAATTCGGTTTGCCGGAAACGCTGTGGGTAGTAGTGGCTTTAGGCATAGTATGTACCAGCTCTGTCTAGAAATCCAACTCTGTTTGTAACTCATTTTGTATGTATATACTTTTACCTGAATATATATTTATTTATTATTATTATTAAAACTATGGTGAAGTTGTCAACACCTCCATACACAACTGAAGCCCAGATTAAGGCCACTTGACCGCTCACAGTCAAGGGGATACGAGTGGTCAAGCTTTCGTTAAACTTTACTAAACTTGAACTTTTCAACTTAAACCATTTTTTTGGTTTATATGCACTTCCAAATTCAACACATGTCCTCTTGTCTTACTTTTCCTCAATTTAAAGAGTCTGTACCTATCAATTTCCTTCAGTATCTTGAATGTTGTGATCATATCCCAGCTGTTTATTCTCTAAGCCTGTCAGATTTAATCCATACCCGTAACCTGTCCTCCTTGAGGCTACCTTGAGATGCTTCCGGGGCTTAGTGTCCCCGCGGCCCGGTCGTCGACCAGGCCTCCTGGTTGCTGGACTGATCAACCAGGCTGTTAGACGCGGCTGCTCGCAGCCTGACGTATGAGTCACAGCCTGGTTGATCAGGTATCCTTTGGAGGTGCTTATCCAGTTCTCTCTTGAACACTGTGAGGGGTTTGCCAGTTATGTCCCTTATGTGTAGTGGAAGCGTGTTGAACAGTCTCGGGCCTCTGATGTTGATAGAGTTCTCTCTCAGAGTACCTGTTGCACCTCTGCTTTTCAACGGGGGTATTCTGCACATCCTGCCATGTCTTCTGGTCTCATGTGATGTTATTTCTGTGTGCAGGTTTGGGACCAGCCCCTCAATTATTTTCCACGTGTAAATTATTATGTATCTCTCCCGCCTGCGCTCAAGGGAGTACAGATTTAGGCTCTTTAGTCGGTCCCAATAGTTTAGATGTTTTACTGAGTGGATTCTAGCAGTAAAGGATCTCTGCACGCTCTCCAGTTCAGTAATTTCTCCAGCTTTGAAAGGTGCTGTCATTGTGCAGCAGTACTCCACTCGTAGTACTCCACTACTACGTAGTGGTAATGTACTACGTACTACCACTACGTAGTACGTAGTACTCCTCGTAGCTAAACCCTCCCAGTTCTGGCACACATTTTGTTGGCAACTTGACCATCCACATGGACAGGTCAGTACAGCAACTGCTTGCATTCTTGCAGGGTCGGAGTTCAATCCTCGATGACCATAGCGGTAGAGTCATACTGGCTTTGCCCATTCCCCTGATAGACTTTCTGGGGAGGGGGGGGGGAGAAATCTGTACTTTGGAATTATACCCGTTATCCATCAGGCGGCAGGGATTGCAAGCCGGCGCTGCATACTTCAGCAATGGTCTGACATACTTCATAGATGGTCTTGAGAGATGTTTTGACGCTGAGTGTGCCTATGTAACCCTGTTCACCTGTGCTCTGTTGTGTCAACCATGGTGGTAATGGGTGGAGACGATGGTGGTAATGGGTGGGGACAATGGTGGTAATGGGTGGAGACGATAGTGGTAATGGGTGGAGACGACGGGTGGTAATGGGTGGAGGACGGTGGTATGGTGGTAATGGGTGGGGACAATGGTGGTAATGGGTGGGGACGATGGTGGTAATGGGTGGAGACGATGGTGGTAATGGGTGGGGACGATGGTGGTAATGGGTGGGGACGATGGTGGTAATGGGTGGAGACGATGGTGGTAATGGGTGGGGACGATGGTGGTAATGGGTGGGGACGATGGTGGTAATGGGTGGGGACGATGGTGGTAATGGGTGGGGACGATGGTGGTAATGGGTGGGGACGATGGTGGTAATGGGTGGGGACGATGGTAGTATTGGGTAGAGACGATGGTGGTAATGGGTGGGGACGATCGTAGTAATGGGTGGGGACGATGGTAGTAATGGGTGGAGACGATGGTAGTAATGGGTGGAGACGATGGTAGTAATGGGTGGGGACGATGGTGTAATGGGTGGGGAATGGTGGTAATGGTGGGGACGATGGTGGTAATGGGTGGAGACGATCGTAGTAATGGGTGGGGACGATCGTAGTAATGGGTGGAGATGATGGTAGTAATGGGTGGGGACGATGGTAGTAATGGGTAGGGAAGATTGTGGTAATGGGTAGGGAAGATTGTGGTAATGGGTGGGGACGATGGAGGTAATGGGTGGGGACGATGGAGGTAATGGGTGGGGACGATGGTAGTAATGGGTGGGGACGATTGTGGTAATGGGTGGGGACGATGGTGGTAATGGGTGGAGACGATAATAGTAATGGGTAGGGGCGTGGTGGTAATGGGTGGGAACGATAATAGTTATGGGTAGGGACGGTGATGGTAATGGGTGGGGACGATGGTGGTAATGGGTGGGGACGATGGTGGTAATGGGTGGGGACAATAGTAGTAATGGGTGGGGACGATGGTGGTAATGGGTGGGGACGATGGTGGTAATGGGTGGGGACGATGCTGGTAATGGGTGGGGACGATGGTAGTAATGGGTTGGGACGATGGTGGTAACGGGTGGGGACGATGGTGGTAATGGGTGGGGACGATGGTGGTAATGGGTGGGGGACGATGGTGGTAATGGGTGGGGGACGATGGTGGTAATGGGTGGGGGACGATGGTGGTAATGGGTGGGGGGACGATGGTGGTAATGGGTGGGGGACGATGGTGGTAATGGGTGGGGGGACGATCGTGGTAATGGGTGGGAACGATGGTGGTAATGGGTGGGGACGATGGTGGTAATGGGTGGGGGGACGATGGTGGTAATGGGTGGGAACGATGGTGGTAATGGGTGGGGACGATGGTAGTATTAGGTGGAGACGATGGTAATAATGGGTGGAGACGATGGTGGTAATGGATGGAGACGATGGTGGTAATGGGTGGGAACGATGGTGGTAATGGGTGGGGGACGATGGTGGTTATGGGTGGGGACGATGGTGGTTATGGGTGGGGACGATGGTGGTAATGAGTGAAGAAGATGGTGGTAATGGGAGGTGCCGATGGTGGTAATGGGTGGGGACGATGGTGGTAATGGATAGGGAAGATGGTGGTAATGGGTGGTGACGATGGTGGTAATGGGTGGGGAAGATGGTGGTAATGGGGGTGACGATGGTGGTAATGGGTGGTGACGATGGTGGTAATAGGTGGTGACGATAGTGGTAATGGGTGGGGTCGATGGTGGTAATGGGGGCGACGATGGTGGTAATGGGTGGTGACGATGGTGGTAATGGGTGGGGACGTTGGTGGTAATGGGTGGGGACGATGATGGTAATGGGTGGGGACGATGGTGGTAATGGGTGGGGACGATGGTGGTAATGGGTGGGGACGATGGTGGTAATAGGTGGGGAAGATGGTGGTAATGGGTGGGGGACGATGGTGGTAATGGGTGGGGACTATGGTAGTAATGGGTGGGGACGATGGTGGTAATGGGTGGGGACGATGGTGGTAATGGGTGGGGATGATGGTGGTAATAGGTGGGGAAGATGGTGGTAATGGGTGAGGGACGATGGTGGTAATGGGTGGGGACGATGGTGGTAATGAGTGGGGACGATGGTAGTAATGGGTGGGGACGATGGTGGTAATGGGTGGGGGACGATGGTGGTAATGGATGACATAACGTGACAACGTTATGTCCAGTCCAAGCAATATGACCCGGAAAGTGGAGTTGGAGATCCTGTTGGAGGACATATTCGACCTTGAGACACAAAAGGAGGTCACCACCAAGACACCTTACAAGCAGAACTTATCGCGGAAAGAGGAAAGAATCGAGGCAACTACAGAAGCATCATACTGTGCCCCGAGCTCAAAACGGCAGCTAAGAGCCTTCGTGAGAACAAGAAGATAGTCGTCAGGAGATGTGACAAGTCGCCAATATACGTCATTCTTAAAAAAGACGAATATCTGGCAAAAATGAACCTCATACTCTCTGACCAAACTAAATTCCAAAGGGTAACGAAGGACACTACAGCCGAATTAAAAGCAAAGGTCAACAAATTGATCGAAACTGTGAACGCCAAGAAATCCGGACTCCACCTGCCAAAGATTAATGGGGAATACAAACCTGGATACGCGTATGGAAATGTCAAGACACACAAGCCTGGAAACCCACTTCGGCCAATCATCAGCCACATACCCACACCCACGTACAAACTGGCGAAGCGACTCAACGGCTTGCTGACTCATTATGTCCCTAGCGCCTTCAGCTTGAAGTCTCCAAAGGAATTTGTTGAGTTACTGCGGGGAACACGGGCCACAGGGATAAGAGCCTCGTTGGACGTAGAATCACTGTTTACCAACGTACCTGTGGATGAAACAATCAGGATGATAGCGGACAGAGTGTATCGTGATCCGGCCTGTACTCCTCTTGACATACCAGAAAACATTCTAAGGAAACTACTCCAAGCTTGTACTAAAGAGGCACCCTTCTTAAGCCCGGATGGGCACATGTATAAGCAAGTAGATGGGGTCGCCATGGGTTCTCCCCTAGGTGTCCTGTTTGCGAACTTCTACATGGGTACCATCGAACAAAAGGTCTTAGTCGACATGAACTCTAAACTGGCCATATACTGCAGGTATGTTGACGACATTTTTACACAGGTACCTGATTTCAGACACCTGCAGGAGCTCAAGGAGGCATTTGAGCGGAATTCTGTGTTGCGTTTCACTTATGAGATGGAGAAGAATGGGAAGCTGCCCTTTCTAGATGTAACAGTCATGGAAAGGAGCGGAGGTTTCCACA